GGAAACAACAAGGGCAGCGCCACCAATAACGCTGCCAATGAAAGCAAGAATCACAGCACCAACGCTGGTCACAACGCCAACCACGAGAACAACAACCACAAAGGTAAAAACACCGACAATACCAACGACAAGAGCGAGAACCACGAAGCCGATCATAGCCACAACAACATGGTCTATGTGGGCTTCAACAGCTCCATCTACAGCCGCAACGCTACCGAAATTTCGAACCAAGACGCCACCGATGCCAAGACCACGACCGCCCCGTCCTCCGACTCGAAGCCCGCCACTGTCCTCTTCCTATCGGTAGCCACCGCGGTGCTTGTGGTCCTCTCCATGGCCTTTGTCGCGGGGAGAATCAAGCTGACCGTTCGCCGCAAGTGGCGCGGCAAACATGTGCCGCCGCCGGGCATGGCTTTCCCGACGGACATTGGCGTCATCGAGGGAGCGGAACCCAACCTCCGCTACCACGACGACGTGAACCACGACGACGACTACCACGACGACGTGAACGACGACGGCGACTACCACGACGGCGTGAAACGCACCGAGCTTGTCTAGCGCATCCGTGCCATGGCAGCGCACGAGCAGGCCGTTGCCTTGCGCAACACGGAACGGGCGGTGCATCCGCGGAACAACGGTCCACCACGGAGCAGCGGGGGAAAAAGGATGTCTCTTTGGTTTGTTCCGCAGCGACACCCTGTCTCTCGCAGCCCGTTGCGCCGTCCAAACTGACTCTGTTGCCGCTGCTTTGGTCAGCCTGTAGGCCTAATATTTGTTAGCACATGTTGCTTATCTATTATTTTGTTCCCCGCAATGCCTCTTCGTTCTCGTAAAATCTCTTGCAGCTTAACCCAATATGCAACTTAGCACGATTCCATCCTACCTATCGCGCCGCAACAATATAGGGCGCGTCGGCTGTTGCCCGGTGCACCGCCCGATTGCGCTGCGTTAGCAGTCTTTGTCTCGATGCCGTGGTGGAGTTTCTGTAGTTTCTTTCGCAATCTGAAACAGTCCGGTTCACCGCTTGTCTCAAACCGTTACATACTGTTTCTCAGAAAGATATTCGTGTGAGTTTGGAAGCAAAAGGTTGTAAGCGTCAAATTGAACACATCTTTTCCAGTCGAGAAGTACTTCGTATGGCAGAATAGAATGGAATCATGCTTGGTGCGAGTACAAGAACGGACCATACCGTGGAACATTTCGAATTTTTACGTAACGCATATGGTACACTCAGTTTTACCGTGCTATCATACGGTAGATATTAGATATCAAATGATGAACGAATACACTTAAAGTTGCTTCGTGGTTCACAAGAAGTACTTCTACACAGTACGGTAATCGCATTTCATACATGCAGAACCGTACGTAGAAAATATTTCGTGCAAGGAACATGATGGATGGCGGACAGACTGAACGGCAGTAGCTCTTCCAAACTGCAGGGGCCATGATCTCGGTTGTGATCGTACGAAGAACCATCACTGAAGTGCAGAACGGTAATTCTACCATGGGTCATAATTTATGACTCCTGACTTCTTCTTCGTACTGTACGGTACGTGTAGAGACCTAGAGTTACGTGAGAGGCGCCTTTCGCCATCTGTAGATGCTTTTTACGATCAATACTGACTCATGTATGTGGATATTTTGTTTGGTTCTTTGAAAGGGGGGGAGGGTGGAATTGGGATTTTGTTTCACTTGTCGCAATCGTATTTCAAGTATGGTACGTACGGTAGCGCGTACGATCACGATCACTGTACTTTTCTTTCAAAGAAAGCCCCCAAAATCGCCACGTCCAGATCCAAACAACTCGCGAAAAAAAACATCATTTTGATATTGATATTCGAATGTGTTCTTTATTCTTTACCAGATGGTTGGGGATTCGATTATTACCCTACCGGTAGTGGTTCACTGTAACACTCATTCATTTATTCGAAGTGTATTGCGAATTTTATCAACAGTCCTCAGAAGTTCCGAACGGTAACTCCGAGAAGATAGTGGTGTCATGTTCCATTTTTTTGACCATCTAGAGAGTGATGGTTGATTCACATCGTATTCTTTCATTTCTCCGAGTCAAGACGCGAGTCAGAACGCAAGTCAGAACGCAATATTGTAGGGTGGAAAGCTTGATGTTGTATCGAACAAGCTGCTATCAATCCAACTTCATACAAGCCTATCTTTGAACCATTTTCGGTCCAATCGAACTCAATCCTGTTCAATTCAATCTACCAACGACCAGGAATGCAATGGCGCCGACGTTTTCTGCTCTGGATTTGTGGGATCCACGCACCGGACATGCATCCACCGGAAATGCAACTCTAGAAAACAGCCCTCGCGGCCTCCGCAACCCCACCCCTTCGCGATTCGTCGGATGCGAGAACGACACGATTTGCGACGACTGGTACGCCACCGACGACTGCGACTGCGACTACGGCACCCTCGCCATCGCAAGGGACGCACCGCCGGGATTCGGTTCCGCCTTTTTGTGCTCCGGGATCGCCCTCGTCGCCGTCGTCCTGGGGTCGGTCTTGGTGGCTTCGGTTCGACACGGCCGAAGGGGGGGGCGATCCGGGGACACGGTGGCCACGAGGGACGACGTTTGCGGCGGCGAAAGCATCGGCGGCATCGACGACGACGACGACGACGACCAAGGGGACGAGGAGGAGAACCGCTTCACCAAGCAAAGCTTSGGTGTTGGGTTCGGCGACCGGGCCGCTCAAGGGGTCGACCCAGCACACCGAAGGGATCCCTCGGTGGCCCCCGGCCGTTCGAGGGCCACCGGGGAACGCCGCCGCGATCGTTAGGTTAGGTTAGGCACGGCCCGGACGTGCCGGCAGGATTCTCCACCGCTTCCGGCACGGCAAGCCCATTCCGAGGAATTCAATTCGGGATCGACGAACCGAACGGAACCGAACGACCGGGCTGGCTGGCTCGATCGTGATCGCCGGGCACCGGAGCAAAGGCACAAGCAAACCACCCCGAGTGGCTGTGCGTACGGAAGGGGGAGGGCAAAAACCCGGGGAGGCCATGGCACCGCACGGTGCTACCCGAGTCGGTGCCGTGTGGTGCTCTGCCTGTCGGGCTCCGCGCCACGCATGGGTGCCACGGCCCTGCGAATCCAACGCCACAATCCATTGCAGCTGTCTCGTGATGGCAGCGGATGGCTGAATTGCCACCCACGGAGCTGCTGTCGCTTCCTACCTCTACTGGTAGTATTTCGTGTTGGCCATCCCGCCTTGCGACCGGGGCAATCAAAATTTTGTACGAAAATTACTGGCACGAGAACCAACTCATTGCAAGACTACGAACTAAGCACGGTGTTTTCGCACATACCGAGGAAGAAGTTCGATTCAAATATTAGTCCTACATACACCAGATAATGTAATAATATCACCTTTTTGGTAATGGCAGCTATACAACGACATTAGAACGAACAAGATTGATTCGATAGTGCAGCGGCACCTTATTGATGTATCAAAGAAATCAAGTATTCTGCGGTTCTATCGTCAGAGTTTATAATGTGGCATCTAGGTTACATTCAAATTTACAGCTCCTAAAAGATGGCGCGATCCTTCTTTGCATAGAATACCTCGCAGCCCTCGTCTTCGACTAGGGTAATTGGTAGTTTCTTGTTCCTGGATGGGGGTTTCAGTCTTTTGTACCATCGGCTATTTCTTGATTGCTGCCGTTCGCTCTTGCTGTTCTTCTTCTGCGTCTTCTTGCTGTGTTTTCCCGATTCCGGTGACGCTGGCATCGTCGCTGCTTCAATCGCCGTGCGTGGTTTCCGGACCACCGTTTCCACCCTGAGCAGGGGGGTTGGTTCGGGTTCCGGGGTCGCCTCTTCCCGGAGATGCTCGTCGGCATCGATGGTTCGGTGCTCGGCGGATCCCGAGCTCGGATCCCGCTGGAGCTCGACGATCGACCGGTCCTCGAGCGTCCTCGCACGTTCTGGAACCACGGGAGGGAGGGGAGGCGTGGCGGGCTCGTCGGCGTCGATGGCCGGGCCGTCCGGATCCCTGGACGCTTCGAAGATCAACGGATCTTCGTACGTGCGTTGTCGCTCCGGGGCGATTCCACCCGTGGGGGACAGAACCGCCGCACCTGTTTTGTTGTTGAGGACCAACACGGCGTGTTTGATGCCCTTGTGGCGCCTCTGGGCGGCAACGATGCGCTGCTGGCTCCTTGTCCTCTTGACTCTGTTGCTCGTGTTGCCTTTCTGGTCGCTTGGTGGGGTTGAGAACTCGATTTCGAATCCCGTTGGAGACGGTTCGATGCGCTGGAGAGCTGCAGCATTCGGGTTCTTCTTTCTGGATTCCTTGCTTCGTCTTCTCCGCAGCAGAGACCTCCGTGGTGTCTTTGCCTTGGTTTGGCTTGGGTTCTTCGTCATCAATCCGATCAGCGACGGCCGACGGCTGTTCTTTCCAGCGGTGGCACGCTCGCGCTCTTTCGAGCCGAGCACTACAGACAGGTCTTCTTTGGTTCGTTCGATTCCTTGCTCTGCCGTGGTTGGTCTTTCTTCGTCGAGGTCACCAGGTGCGGTTTTGTCCTTGTGGTGTTGCGACTCGCTCACGGCTGCGGTCTCGCCACCCGCACATGCTGTCTCAGAGATCGTGGCCTCGCACGAAGGAGGCCCGTAGGTGGATTTGGCCAACAACTCCTCTGCGTTGGCAATCGATTCGACAATGGGAGCAGGAACTTCTTCTTGCAATCGGTCGTCTTGTTTTAGCACGGAATCACGGACGTCGGCGCACGGGATGGACTTTTCTAGGGAGTAAGCACGGTCCACAGTATTATTGCTTGTATCCTGATTCAGAGTATCAGGAACTCCACCATTCTCCGTGTTCTTGTCCTTGTTCTCGGTCTCCTCAACCAGGATTCGAATCTGGAAAACGCTGTCGTTGTCGTCCCCATCACGCGGGAAAGAAAGCTTGGTCTTTTGAACGTCGAAATGTTCTTGTTCCTTGTTAACATCAGGAATGGTGGTGTTCTCCTTTTTCAGGGACAGCATTTTTTGGATCGGGGTTTTGATAGTCATTGCGTTGTTTGAAATCCTTTTTGCCTCTGCTTGCAGGAGAGCTGTACCGACGTCGGATTCGGCAACATTTTCGTCTACCTTTACACTCACGGTACCACAGTTTGCAGCCGCCACCAGCTTGCCGACTCTGGACAAAGCGTATGCCGCGGGAGCAGCCGCTTCGCCGCAACCATGGCATCTCGATACATTGGTGGTACAGGGCTTCCACCACTTTGAGAGCAGCTTCTTGTCGACACTTTCCGGAACTTCTTCTTTGGTGCTGTGTGGCGGGGGGGAGCTAGGTGGTACAGACTGTTCGTGAACGACGGTTGTGTTTTTCTGATCCTGTGCCTCCTCCGACACCTCCCCATCATTCTGGACCTCCTGGGGAGCATTGTTTGCAACTTCTTCAGAAGAGGTTTTCACAATTTCCGAATTGGTGCCTTTCTTCCAAGAAAGGACATCGAAACTGTTCGTTGCGGCCAGCGGCAGGATGTCGATGAAGTCTTCGGTGCACAGGCAGTTTTCGAAGATGGACGAGGATTCGTGGTGCGATCGACCTGGCTTTGAATGAATATGCTCGCTGTTGTTCGTTGCGTCGTTCGCTTCCTCCTTCGCTTCGTTTCCATTCGTGGATGCGTCTTCGATAGTTGATGGTTTCTCGTGAGTAGTTTCTGCTTGTGGGTCCCTGGTGGAAGCGTCTTCGGTAACCACGATCACTTTATTTGTTCCGTTTTTTTCATGTGGGTGGCTTCCTTCGGTCGAAAAGGAATCTGCGAGGCTGACGGTGTTGCTATCTCTGGTACCGGTGGTCCCGCTTCCTTCCCGATGCTGTAGTCCTTGTTCGTATGGATCGTCAAGATTCTTGGACACCACGAGCGGTTTCACCGGTGCGTCCTCGAAGTCGTCTGGAAAACACTTGAAAAGCGACAATGTCGACAACGTCGGCGATTTGTCTGCMTTTGTGTTGTCGGGCTCACGCTGCTTTGGTTTCCTGTTTTTCCTTCGAGACGATCTGCGTCTCAAAGAGAGAGAATCCGTTCTGGATTGAGTCATCAGCTTTTTATACATTCGATCCACAAGGGCACCGGTTCGGTAGATGAAGTCGATCTTGGGTTTCCTTCTTCGAGATTTTCTCTTTCTTTTCTTGCGGCGGACTGAAGTGTGGGAGGGTCCTGTGAGCGCTGATAATGTCTCTGATTCGCCTACGTGGGTGTCCTCTTCTTCTTGACTTTGTCCATGACCAGTTTTGGGCTCGGGCTTGGGGTCTTGTTCTCGATCTTGATCTTCGTCGTTGGATTCGATCGGCTTTGAGGCATCACCCTCGCAGTCCATCGTGGAAGAGAAGTCGCTGCCGCTACCATCGTCGTAGAAGCCCTCTTCATCAAAGGTGCTTTGTCCAAAGGCGTAGATTTGGTCGTCGTCGTCGTTGAAATCGAATAGGTCATCGTCCTCGTCGAAGGTGTCATAAATGTCGTCCTCGTCAAAGGTGGAGTGGAATGAATCGGAGCCGCTGTCATTCTCAGAGGCGCCGGAGCCAAGCTCAAAGTCCTCGTCGTCGAGCAAGGTTTTGTAGTTGCGGTTGATCTGGTTCTCCCTTTCGAGGAACCGCATCATGATTTTGCTTCGGCTCGGCGTGGGAATATCTACCCCAACGCTTCGGCCAAACGCGCCTCTATGACTGCCCCTCTCGATTGATGCGGTGGGTGCGACCATTGTTGTAATCGAATTGATGGAACGAGGACTTTTTGGTTATTTTTTTCGCGCTGCGTTGTGCTGTGTTGTTTTGTCTTGTCTTTTCTTGTAATGAATTGTGTTGTGTTGTGTTGTGTTGTGTTCTATTCTGTGTTCCTAATCCGATGATTTTATTTCCTCGTTCATAGCGCGAGGGTTCTTTCTATCGTCGAAGGATCGATTCCTTTGGCACTTGATCCCAATGAGGAATTTTCTTCCTCAGATTTTTGTATGGGTTAAAGTGTATATAACTGTGGGGGTTGCAGTCCTTTCGCTTCACAAGACCGATCGGATTCTGGGGTCTTGTGTTTTGTGCTTCAGTCACAGTGAGAATTACTGTCCGAGAAGGTACAGCACGTGATGCTCTCGCATAGATTTGCATCTAGTTGCTCTCTCACTCTTGCCCATACAACGCATGCACGCTTGCTCACTCAGGCTCTCTCCTCTACTGCACTATTACCAGAATGTACCAGTTTCTGCAGGGCTAATAATGACATCGGTACCATCGTTTTGTGAGAATCCAATTGAAAATCTAAGACACGATTTGTCAATCCATCAATCTTTCCGTTCTAGCGCAAACGGACCTTGTATTCGGCGATCAAATGAAATGGGTCCGTCAGACCGTTATGTTTCCTACGGAAGGGGGCAGGCTGGTTCTTGTTCCAAAACTTTTGATCGTTCGGCTCGACGAAAATGTGTACCCTCCGTTAAGGAGTGCGACCTCACCCAGCTCGTTTCAGTCGTGTAGCAACCGTTGTGAAAAAAATAATATTGAAAGTGTAATTGTACTACACTACATTACGATGACATTAATATACGTATCGTATCGTACGTAGATAATCCGAGAATAGTTCACTACTAGTACTTCGTATTAGCTAGTAGTAAATAGTACTACTACTAGTACTAGTAGTACAAGTAATTTTTATTTTTGGAATTGCAGAATTCCTCCCCTTGAAAAATTAGAAATTTTTGGAGAAAATAAATAACCTACCAATTTAGAGTCATTTCAGTTGAAGGAGAGGAGGAGTACAGCATGTCAGGTAGTAGTAGTATTGAATTCTTCAATAATTTTAAATCACCAGCAATCACCATTTGGGGGTGGTGCTGGTGGTGGTCATCATTCCTCCTCCCATTATGTTGGGGACAGACCAAAAATTTAGAGCATGTGACTCCGGACTTAGCAGATTTCTTAGAACTGGTCAAAGCACCTTGTCCTAAACACTACTCCTCTACTTCTAGAATGGAACCCACCATGAATAAAATGTTCCAGTCTGTTGAAAGATTCAACAGAAAAGCCTGCCAAAAGTAAGACTGGTGATTTCAACAAAATTAAGACACTGTTGTTCTAACCAACAACACTAGTAAAAGAGTAGGAACCTCAATCAAGCACCTCTATTAGCAATTGCACTAAGGCGTCACATCTATTGACCACTAGTAGTAGTACTAGTAGTAGCAGTAGCCATACAAGAAATAATGTCCTGGTCAGTCTTTTCTTTATTCATTACATTCTATTTTCTCTCTTTGTTGCATGGTCAAAGAGAGCAAGAGCAGCAGGTTGGTGACCGCAAAGAAAGGATAGATCATTGTACAATCCAAAAAAGAAACAGCTTGCAGCTTACAGCTTGCTCCTCCCCCTTGGCACAATTCATTTTTTGAATACAAGTACTGTTGAAAGCAGATCATGAGAGTACTCAGCACTACTACTACTACTAGTAATAGATTTCATACCCTGTTCTACTGTCCACTAATATAGTACATTCAAGCCACTACTGCAACTTTAACAGCCAACACCTGGCTGCCCCATCACCAACCAGTATTAGTCATAAAACTAGTACTAATCACACCAGCTGCTGCTGGAGAGATGTGCTTGTACTACTAGTAGTTGGCAACACATAGTACTTCTTCTAAAAGAGGGAACAGCACTCCTATAAACCCTCCTTTCCAAAGATGCCAAACCAATCTAGTCTTGTTCCTCCTTTTTGAGTACCTTCTTGTTTGCTCAGAGCAACTATTTAGTACTAGGAGGAGAGTTATAGCTCCTCTCAGCAGAGCAATGGTTCTGGTTATAGTATCACCTTTATTTCAAGTGGATAAATGTAGTTCAAAGGTTTTCTTTTTTAAATTCTAGTTACTAATACACATTGGTTTTACTAAATATTCTCTCATTGTTGTAATCTCTCATTGTATTCCTACGACATTAGTGGAGCAGAGAGAGAATCTATCTACATGAAAAAGCATATGCTGGTGTTGGCATTTCGCACACCAATGCTACTGTATTTCGTCTTGTTCTTTGTTACGACAACCCATTGTTGCAATGCCTCCTTTCATTCGTGTGTCACGGTGGTACTAGTAGTATGCCGAACTACTGGTATCTACGGATTAAAAATAGGATTCGGCGATTTGTAGCACTTGTAGATACCATTCATTGGGTCACACCCGCACTCGTTGGCACCCGTAGGGTCTCCGGTCTCCTCGTCTAAGACGTAGTACGTGCACCGCTGGTGCATGTAGCACGAGGCCCCATCGCATTCGGCCTCAGTGTCAGCACAATATGCTGGGTTGTTAATTGTGGGGAGGATCTGTCCGGGAGGATCAGGTGGCGGAACCACAACGCTTTGCTGCGTTTAGATTTGCGATTCATTGTCGTAAATTGCAGTGTATTATTGTGAGACCAAGCGTATTTCAGTAGGGGATCGAAAAGAGGGGAGAAATAGGGGTAAGAAACAACAGAATCGAAACAATGTAAACAAACGTGCGATCGGTTTCCTGTGTAGTACAATGCAGATGTGGATTGCAGCACTTACGACATTGGCGGAGATCCCCCCAATCGGCGCTGGGGGCTGAAGGGAGACGGCGAGAGGGGGTTCCTCCTCCGCCTCCTCGACAGCTCCGCACACCCACCTCGCCGGAACGCCTCCCACCCGGAGGGTGCATCCGCATCGAAGGATTGTCGACGATCCGCTGCTGAAATAGTTGCAATAGGTTTCCGAGGCACCGGGAGGAACAAAGTCATCGCACCGTACACCGGTAAGCTGGGTCTTTTCGGGGCACCCATCGGCCCGGAGCATCACTGCCGGGGTGACGGGTGGCACCTGAGGGGGAGCTGGATCGCTGGGGACGTTGGGAACGTCCGGGACATTTTGGATGGGTTCTGGCCGGGGAATATTAGGATTTATTCCACTGCCTGGCCCACCGCTTGGATTGATTGGGGGTTTGGGTTTGGGCTCGGGCTTGGGTTGTGGCTTGGGCTCGGGAATGCTCTGGTAGGAAGAGCGGTAGACCTCGGTGGTGACGCAGTACTGGGAGTTGCTCCCGTTTTGCCGGAGGCAATCCACGAGGACGGATCCCGTATTGAGGTTGGATGCGGAGGTCGGGAGCACCGTGCGAAAGGCACAGACCACGGATCCGCCGGCGGCCTCCTCGCACTCCATATCTCCAATTGCGAGGTTGGCGATATTTAGTGTCGTTGTCGTTGCAGTTGCAGTTGTTACCGCTGTAGTTGTGCTGGACTCCTGCCAACGAAGCAGGCGCGCCCCCGCTTGTGCCTGCGGATCGTCGACGCCACTAAGCTTTCCCCGCAAGTTTGGGAAGTTCTTGTTCTCTCCTGCGAATGCGACCGTKGCGAGGAGGAACCACATGAAGCACTTGTGTTTTGGTGTAGTGTGGAACAGAATCATGGTTGTCTGCGCTGCCTTTAGCTATCTTGTCTTGATTAGGCTTCGGGTATAGGCTCGGCTCTGCTTGGTTAGATTGAAATTATGTCGAGTTGGTTCGCGTTGCGTTATGCTGTGCTGGTTGATTGCGAAGTTGCTTTTATGGGGGGAACGCGATGGTACTATTAATTGAATAACCGGTGTCACTAAAGGCTTCTCGACGTTTTCAATTCTTTGTCGAACGAAAGAACAAGAACATCAGCGAAGCGCAAGCACGATCGAAGAACAGATACGTCTCGCATCCGGGATTTGCAGAAGAAAATAGATAGTAATGTTCAAAAAGACACGCAGGGTTTTTAATAGTACATAGCGCTGCCTTTTCATATTCGATGGGATTCGCATGATCAATGGATCGATGCCTCATTTATCAGTTTTCATCTCGCCGTTGACACATCAATGAAAGGCACAAATCCTACGGTACTTTATTGTGCCGCCCGAGCCAGACCGATTTCGGGGTCAGTGGGCGTCTTATCTTGGCACGTGGTATTCTTTACGATCTAAACAAAGATTTTGGTTGGGTACCTCTCTTCATCCGGGAATAGAACCGCAAACATCGATTGTACGTGCTATTACGTATTTCAACTACTGGGTATGAGTATCGTCAAAATACCGATGCTTGGTTCGTCCCATTCATTATTGGCGGCCCACAAAAATTGTCTAATTTCCTTTTGGCGACTACTCGGATTCAATTGTATTGCCCTTTTGTTCAAAATTGGCGCTATGAGATTGGAACGGAAATTAAGCACATGATGAATAGAATTGTTTTTCATTTTCATGTGAAATAACTGGCCTTTAGCGACAGTACACTAGGTACATTGTCATATGTAGGGGAAGAGTACTGTGTTTTTACGTTCCCAAACCGCATCGCATCAGCATCGCATCGCATCAGCATAGCATCACATATCTCCGGACGAGGACTACAGCAGGGGTCATAAATGACCCCTGTACTACAGTACGTACTCGTACTCGTACTCATAGGTACTTACGAAGTACTTCTACTTGTAATTGATTTAACTGCTTTACTCTACCTTGCGTATGTATTATTCGTACGGTATGATATACATACAAACAGTCAGTTAATTGTTAACGCACTACTGTAGTTATTGTACCGTACCGTACGTAAAATAGGTACAGTACTACGAGTAAGATACCGTACTCAGGAAGGAACAAAGAACGAAGAATCTGGTATAGGACGGACCAAAATTAAAAGAAACAGGATACTGTTAGAAATTTGAAGATAGGAATCAAACCAAGCATCGAAGAAGTACCATATTGTTGGTTCTACAGCCGTTTGTTTCCTTCGTCTAGTAATGATAACTACAAGTAGAATCGCTGATTCCGAATGACCTTAATTGGCAAGCAAGAACACAACTACTACTGGAATGCCGTCGAAGGGAGCAAGAAGCAACACAGTAATGATAAAAGCTTGTTGACTGGTAGAAGTATTGGGGACAACGAATCCAGAGTAGATATTTGCAACTTTAATTACAGCAGTACCATCATAGTTGATAGCAATATTTGCACGGCAGTTGAGATACGAGTTTCAATATCACAAGACATAAGTAATTACCGTATCACAGGATATCAACAGGCCACGGTCCCCGGAATCAGAGCCGGAATTGCATATTGGAACACTGCATTGTTGTGGTGATTCTTTTGTAAATACCTTGTAGTTTGTCACTATTAAACGCGTACCACATGGTGCTGTACATGCCTAAAATGACGAGCATTGTGTTGGTTCTGTGCACGTGAAACATATTGCGTTCGTGGTTGCGTATTGCGTGTTTGTTCTCTATGTTGCTGTAGTTGCAGCTTAGCATCTTTGTCTTGCCTTGATTATTTTGGCTTACTATGCCTTGGAGGCGTGTTGTATGCTGCCCGTAGGAATGCTTTCATGTCCCATTCGTAGTTCTTGGTCATGTTCGTTCACAGGTTGTTCCTGCTTGAGAGCTTCCATCTGGCGGCCAATGTCTGAAAGAGCAGCGTTCACAAATCCGGCAGCATCAACCCACCGATCGAAGCATCGCACCTTCCTGGAATACTGGTGGCCATGAACAAAGGCCTGGCACCGATAGGACGGTTTGTATAAAGAATTTGTGTGTTGTGATTGGCGTTCGTGGTCGTGTTGTGGTTGTTCGGAGCAGCCCTCCTGTTCTCGATCGTCGTCAAAGCAGGGTGTCAGCAGCAGAGATGAGGCGCATATATTGTCATTCACAACGTGGTACGCGAGACGGCTCGTGCAATACTTGTCCTGGCACTCGGTTCGGTAATACGCAGAGAATGCGAGGGAGTGGAAGGGGGGCAGCGCGGCATTGTCGTCGTTTCTATTTGGGTTCGAAAGGAAGGAACAAGAAGGAGATGGAGACGAGTCGATCAGCGACATTGTGTGGTTATGGATTGTGTTTTATCTCTTGTATGCTGGTGACTGTTTGTTGTGATTGTCCTTTGATAGTTGTGGGTGGTTTCTTGATGTTGTCGGTATTACGGAAATTATGGATTAATTGTTCTCTTGACGACTCAATCAAAACTGTCATCTTGTCGCCAGAAACGTTTGGGAACCAAGTAAAATACCGAAACGATTTGGCGAAATCAGAATAAACTTCCGTGGCCTGCCGGTGGAACATCAGGTGAATGTAAACAAATCCAATGGAACAATGTCACACGAATGAATGACTCAACCGAGAATCGGTCTTAGTCGTCGACCAATTATGGAATTTTACAAGAAGTACTAGCCGGTACTGGAAGCCACAGAGGACTGAGTGCTTTGGCTCTGGCACAAATGGTAATCGTGTCGTGTCAGTCATCATCTTTCTTCCCAACTAACAATGGGAAAATGCGTAACTCGACGAACAGAATTGGCCAATCAGCAGTCAATCATAAAATATGAAGTACGTACCTGTTGTGAAAAGGGATGCTGGTAGTAATACTACAGCTACTACTAGTACCAATGGTTCATTCCCCTTATTCTAAATACTCTAAACATCTAAATTTAGGGATCTAGTGTTTTAAGATTAACGGGAATCGGATTGGAGGTGTTTGGTTAGAATGTTGGCAACTTGTATGAAGTTGCTACAGCAGCAGCAGCAAACGTAGAAATTGATTCATACTACTACTAGTACCACCACCACCATCAATCCACTCACCATGGTCAAAGGAAGCAGCGATGTTGCTTTCCTTAAAGGTTGTTTACAAGCACTTGGAAGTGCTTGCTTGTACACAGTACCATTCTGGAATAACGGATGATGTTAGCTGCTCTGTTGCTGGTGCAGCTCAGTTACTGTAGAAGGATCAATTTTCTTTGTGTGAGCCTTTTGGTTTTAGCGTGCTCCTTGTTGTCTCATGTTGGCTGATACTAGAGAGCAATGCTATGGAATATGAAGATTTATACTGTAATGAATATGACAAGCTCACATTTATACTGAAATGAAGACAAGTCTATGATACACAAAATCTGCATGCCAATGCTGACTACATGGTGATGATGTGCATGCTGATACAAATCGTTTTGCCAAATGCAGACTACATTTACATGCCAATACAAATCGTTTTTGTGCAAATCCACAGGTAGTAGTAGTGCTAAATTAGCAGAAAACAGTTTCTAATCCCAGATTGGTGTGCACAGTTGTTGTTGTTGTTGTTGTTGTTGTT